AAAAAAAAAAAAAAAAACAAAAACTGACATTAAAGTTAAACTTCATGTGAGTTATTTTCTGGCAGTCCTAATGAGTGAGTTTGTTTGTTTGTTTATGAGAGTCCCAGTGTGTCACCTGGAATGCAGTGGTGTGATCTTGGCTCACTGCAAACTCCGCCTCACAGGTTCAAGTGATTGTCCTGCCTCAGCCTCCTCAGTAGCTGGGATTACAGGCACACACAACCATGCCTGGCTAATTTTTGTATTTTTAGTAGAGACAGGGTTTCACCATATTGGCCAGGCTGGTCTCAAATTCCTGACCTGAAGTGATCCGCCTGCCTCAGCCTCCCAAAGTGCTAGGATTACACGTGTGGGCCACCATGCCCAGCCAGAATATCCTTATTTTTAGTCAAAGCATATGCCAAGGGAAAATTAATGTTTGTTGACTGATTTTTAGATTAGTTTTAGAAATAAAGCCAATCTATATGTAACTTTCTTGTTTCAGCAACATTAAAGCTTCCTTATCATGAGATGTCAAAATTTTAAAACAGGAGGTTGCTTTATTTTAGTCACAATTTCCTTTGAGAACACCTTTTGAACATAAATAATTCCTAAGGTTCTCAAAAGAATAAAGACTTCTAGAACACACTTATGTATAACTTGTTCTTTCACACTATGGCTATCGATTTAAAAAGACTGTAAGAAATAAATACAAATAGGTAAAGATTATATGTAAGATGCTGAATCCCTCAAATGTTATCATGGCTGGAAATTAATATTTACAGGAATGATCCACCAAATTTCAAAACAAATTAAACTGAGCCATATCTAAGATTTACTGTTTTTGTTTATGCTTTGTTTCTCCTTCATTTAGAATTTACTCTTTGACTAACTACCTCCAGGAGGTATTACCCAAAGCACAGACTTTAACTGAAGGGTGTAATACCAGGAAAGGGTAATGTCTAAACTTTTTCCTTTGAGGTTTAAATTCATTTAGTGTTCAAAATGAGTTTCCTTTTTTCTTTCTTTCTTTTTCTTCTTTTTAAATGAATGAAGGTTATATTACCCTCTCAAGTCTCATCAATGTGAATAAACATTACTTTATAAATAACGTAACACAAGAAATACAGTATTTCATTAGTGTTTAGCCAAATATTATCATTAGAATAGAAAATAAAGGACAAGAAAATTGACCTAGAGACACATTAACAGCAAGTATCTCTTTAATCAAAACATATTAGTTTAAATTACTCAGTACAGTATTTAGCAAAACTGAAAATTTTGTGAGTTGAATCTCACAGATTCAAGGTAGTGCCAGTTTAAAAAGCATTCAGATACTAAGAAATCTGTTAACTGATATTAGGCAAGTATCCTTTTTTGCAATCTCAGTAATACCACCATGAGGGGGAAAGAAGACAAGAGTGAAAAGACTTCCCTCTGCATGCAACGGTAAATACCACAAATCTATTCTATAGGTATAAGCAACATTTTAGTTTAGTTGAAGTAACTTTGACATCTATGTAAACTATCAAGAGTTTTTATACCATAATAAAAAAAATAAAATATTTGCCAGGAAAATATTAATTGATCATTTTAGGTCATGTTAACGAGGTTAAAGGTAAATAAATCACCAATATTAGAATAGAAGATCTTGCCAAAAAGAAGACAATCTTCAAAAATATTATTATAACCAATAATTCATAGAAGATATTCAGCATGAGTCAGTCTTATAACCAGTAATCAAGTGTTGTTACAATACAGAGGAAGGAAGAAAGAAATAAGTGAAGATCAAAATTTATCACTTACCTCATGATTCAGCTCTGCTATCTGATCTTTCAGTTCCCTAATATACTGGTTAGAATCAGACTTGTTAAGCTGTCCTTGAAACTTTCCTTCTTCTTTCTGTTTTGTGGCAAAACAACAAAGCAAAAACAAGAGGCAATTTTTCATAGCATGTACTCAAATATTTCAAGATATAGGAAAACCACAGGAACGTACTCTTTAATCAGCTGAATTCTGCACAAATCCATTCTCAAACTACCTCTGACAAACAATTCATAGTAAACTATGCTGAATTTCTTTAAAAATGCTTAATAAAGGTTTACAATAAATATAATTTGTAAAATATATCTTTTGAAGGAGTCTCAGAAATCAGTAACTGAATGGTTGTACGGATGAAAAAATTATCATAGAGTTTCAAAGCCATTTATCTAGTTATTTTGAGAGGAGATGATTCTCTATTCACACCGTAAGATTCAATACTTAGTCAAGAAGATGGCAAGCTTCCCACAGCTTCATTGGGAATCTGCTTTTGCTTGGGGAACAGAAAAGGGGAAAAAAAGAAAAAGTTGTCCAAATCACTCTAAAAGGGGGAAGACAGCTTTGAGTCTCCTCTGTTTAATTAGCTCTCAATGTGGATTGGAAGTCTCAGACATAGCTGATTAAAAGCTGCTTCTGATTCTTTTGTTTCAGATGAGTGTTGGGACTATTTTCTAGGGATATAGATTGGTAAAGAGACAAACTTTTTCTTATATTACCTGAAAACAAATATAAATTATTTTTCAGATAAAGAGCTTATTAAACAGTGAAACTAGAACTGTTTTTGATGTCTCCAGATTATTTATAATTAGGAAACCATGTGTCGATGCTTAAAATGTTAAGCAGCTCTGATCTGGAGCCTTCTACTGAAACTACTGAGTAACTTCTCATACCAAAAGACTATGGGCTTATTTTAACAGTTGCCAATCACCCAGTTTCCTTGCATGGAGACAACCATTGTTAATAGTTTTCTGGTGTAGTCTTTCCATGATATTTTACACATATATAATCAAACATAAATGAATACATGCACGCACATATTTATCCGTACTACAGACAGCAGGTATGCTATTCTGTACTTTGCTATTCTCTCTCAATAATACAACTTGGAGATCATTTAATATCAACACATATAGAACAGAAAGATACACATTCTGACTTTAGAGAGCTTTGAAGTCCCTGTAAAAGTTACCTTAGTACTATCCAAGTATTCATAGGTTTTTTAAAAAGCAGGTTTTAAAACGTGTCTTACAATTACCCTGAGAGTAATGGGTTGCTCTGAAAAGTATTTGTCAATGTGGAGATTCCTCCTATCTTTAAAATCATAGTCAGAAGGGACCTTGAACATCCTCTGGTTTAGTTCTCTGACTGAAGTCACGTCCACCCTCCACCTTCATCCTACATACTATTCACTAACATCCTCGGCAGGAAGTACCAAATAGAACTGTTCTAGCAATAGACAGGGCATGGTGGCTCATACCTGTAATCCCAGCACTTTGAGAGGCCAAGGCGGGTGAATCACTTAAGGTCACAAGTTCGAGACCAGCCTGGCCAACATGATGAAACCCCGTCTCTACTAAAAATACAAAAAATTAGCTGGGTGTGGTGGTGTGCACCTGTAATCCCAGCTACTCAGGAGGGTGGGGCAGAAGAATCTCTTGAACCTGGGAGGCGGAGGTTGCAGTGAGTCGAGAACATGTCACTGCACTTCAGCCTGGGCAACAAGGGCAAAAATCCATCTAAAAAAAACAAGAGCCAAGCATCTTTCCAACAAGACTGCAGTCCTATGTTAACAGTCTTTCCTACCCAAACTGCATCTCTAACTACCCTTAGTTTGTCCTTCAAATCCTTTCATCAACTTATTCCTATAAACTCCTTGTTTTGTTTGTTTTGCTTTGTTCTCTTTCTCTTGGCAATCTGTCTTAAAAACCTTTTACTAGAATATGGCCTGCTGCAGTGGTTTAGTGTAACTAATGTTTGCATAGACATAAAAGGCCAACTACAGCTTCTTTTT